GCTAATCTATTACTATTACTATCGGTACTTAAATTAATAGATTGCATTGATTATTAGTATTATATTATTTTTATTTTATTATATATTATTATTATTATTTCTATTAATAACAATTGCTATTATTAACATTAGTAATTATTATTATTTTTTTGAAAACAAAAATTAGAAATCATATTTATTTTTAACAAATATCACAAAAAAATATGTCATTATTGTATTTTTTAGTTGCAATATATCTGTTCAATTTTATTGAAGTAAATTCGTGATTATAGTCCATTAAAAATCTAGAAAATAGAAACATAACTATTATTTACAATATTTATTTATTTATGTTTTTATTGATCTACAATATAACTTTACTATTGGTTTTATTTTTAGTGATTATATAATGTGAAATAGCATATATATAATGATATTAATAATAAAGTTATACTAACAAAACTTAATCAAATAGTTACATAAAAATATGTATTGACTTTATTTTAAAAAAATAAAACAATCTATAAATTATTAAAGTATTGTATGAATGTATTTAATTATATAATAAATTTTTAATGTAAAATATTTTTAACTTATAATAATGTTTGCATATACTTTACGTATTTTGCTAGTTTTGCTTAATATATTATTTACTTTAGTATATATTAAAAAAATAAAATAAATACACGCACATAAACAATAAATTAAAAATAATGTATTTATTATACAAAATTATTAAAATTATAAGTTAGCTAATTAATATCACAAACATAATAGTTAAACATAACAATCAATAGTAATACATAATTTAATTTAATATTTTGAAAATTATTTGGTAAAAACTTTTTTATGTATTATATATTATGCAAATAAAATTTTTTTCAAATGTTAAAAGTTATAATTTATAATAAACTATAGCCTAAAAAACTAGAACAGTATAACTATTATAGTTTATTATTATTTTTTGTAATATAATAATTAAAATATTTAATTTAATTTAATGATCGGTTGTCTGTATGAGTATAATAGCATAGTTGGCTACATAGCTGATGATTGCCAATAGGGTTACGGCTTTCAAGTCAAACAAATTGAAAACTTTGAGTCGTATACCGTCTCTGACCGATACTATTACCGATAACTGTCGATAAAGATTACTGTCCTCTGGCGACACATTATCATCTCTGGCCATCAGTTGTTCAATACGTTTACATAGATTACCGAAAGCATCGATCATTACCTGCGATGCTATACAAAGTACAGTAGTGTCGACTATGGCTATCGTACAGAAACCGCAAATAGTAGTGACGGCAATGTATGACAGTTTACCCGATAGGCTTAGTACGCAAATTGTGGTCGACATAAACATTGCGTTCACAAATATCTTAACAAAAAGCATTGTCCCAACCAATTGGTTAGTTATGTCCATTTGATGTCTGAGTTTCAATACATTGTCGCACAGTTCACTAATTTTGATATCATTGTTGTCGAGTCTAACTTTCCAATCTGTAATTTAGTAGAAATATATATAGATATTATATAATAGTATAGTTTATTAATTAAATCAAATATCAATACTTAAATATTAAATTAGTTGTTATTTTTTGTTAATTACATTATACAGTATAATACAACTAGAGTATTAATAATAATTATTTTTATAAAAAAAATAATTTATCTATCAATATATCATTAAAATTATTTGATATATATATATTACTAAATTAAATTGGGTAAATTATAATATCGGTTTTTTAAAAACATATATGAGATAAAATAATATTAAGTAAAATATAATACTATTTTAATTACATAATAATAACACAATTACATACACACAGACACGCACACACACACACACGTGTCACATAAAAAACACGTACCATTAATAATAGCGCGTACGGCATAAGCCATAAATGCCAGTAACGATGTTATGGAAAATTTGTTGATTGCGTGAAACAAACCCATAATAAAATAGACAAACGATTTCCACAATTCCGTCGTTGTGTATGTTTTGGCCAACATTAGCACCGAATCGGCTGTCAAATCGGTAAAGTTGACTGACATTAGCATTGCGTCCATTAGTGTCAACAGTATTAGCGATAACCAAAATCTGATGTTTCGTCTACGCGATAGACAAGTAATACCTATAATATTATTTATTTAAAAATTTTTTTTGAAAAAATAATAATTAAATATTAATAATATTACAATTTTAAAAAGTTTTTTTTTTAATTTACTTAAATATTGAAAACACTAACAACAAATAATATAATATTATATAAAATTAATATAATAAAATTAATTACTATTTGAATTATCAACAACAACAGATAAATTATATATTTTTTAAAAATTCTAGATATTATATAACAATATAAATATTTCAAGTTATTATTATTATTAAATAATTTTTTTTTAATTTTAAATACAAATTTAAAAATACATGCTATGTTTAACACCAAATTAATAATAATAATAATAATAATAATAATAAAGACAAACAATACATACCAGTCATTTTGATACCCCTGACAATTGATTTGCCATTTTTCAATAGCATTAATCTGATGGTTAAAAACTCTATGGCCCAGGATATGGCTGTTACCCGAAACAGTGCCACCAATACGACTCCATGTTTACTAACAGCTCCGACATCATTATGATTATCATTACTACTATTACTACTACTACTATCCCCTCCACCACTATTTTTGTTGAACACCCTACTAAACTGGTCGCCATCTAATATGGCTATCAACTCCAATACCATAAGTGCAACCATAACGAGTAGATCGTAGACTATAAGTGCTGTCCGTTTGAGTGGACAGTTATTGTTTAGGTGACTGTTTCCGGCATAGGTAACACCAAATACTGTCTGGACAATAATCAGCCGACACAGACCAGTTTTGCGGTCATGTTTTGTAAATAATATTTCATGATTATTATTATTATTAATAGCTTTTTGTTTTATATTATTTTCTGTACTAACAATAGTTGAACTATCGGTACTTAAATTATTTAAATTCATAATAGTATTAATTTATTGTAATTAATAGGTTATAAAAAATCTGTATTATTATTATTATTATTAATATTAAAGTTATACTAGTTTTATTTGAAAGTAATTCACTAATAAAATGATAATAATTTTTATTTTAACTTAAATATATATTTTTTTGAAATAGTTTTTTTAGTAACATAAACTTAATAAAATTACATTAAACTTAAATAAAAATTTATTATTTATTTATATTGATTTATAAAAAACTGGTAAATAATATATGATATACTAATATAATCAGTAATTTATATTAAATAAAGATCAACTAGTAGTATAGTCAGAAAATTAATTATTTTATTTGTTTATATTTACTTAATGGTTACTATAATAACCTGTATTATATATGTATAGTTATATATAAAATTATTGTTTGTATTTTTTATTAGATCAATAAAAAAAAAGTTAATTATGAACATTGTAATGATATACATTGTATTATTATGTATCATAAATTATCTACAGTTCAGTAAACATATGATAATAATAATAATAATAATAATTACATCATGTATTGAAATAAAAAACAACACATGTATTAAATATACAGTATTATATACTATCTATACTGTATATAATATTACATATGTTAGTAATATAACATAACTAATTTATGGTAATTACAGATTATTATTAAACTAATTTAATTATCATAATGCATAATATAATGTGTATATCATATTAAAATTGTAAATATATTACAGTATTATATTATATATATTATTAAATATAAATATGAAAATTTATCGTATATAATTTTAATCTACAAAATAAATAAAAACAAAAAAATAATAATAATAAATTATGAAATATAATTTTTAATTAATAAAATAATTTATATTTTTTAATATTATATGTGTAAAATATAAATATTTTATATTTAAAAATAATTACTATTTAAAAATAATTTAATTAAATAAATATATTTCTAATCAATATATTTGCTATCAATCAATAATCTATAATCAATATGATAATAGTATTAATTTTCATTATTATTATTATTAAAAATAATCATTAGAATAATTAAATGATTTTTTTATTTAATAAATTTAATTATTTATATTTTACTATTATAAAATATTATTGTTATTTTTTTGTTTATATTTTACACAATCAAACAATTTTCTAGTAATATAAGTAATATAACTTTAATTTTTTTTATAAAAAAAAACATTTTATTGATCAAAATTTTACTGATTTTATAATAATAATGTATTTTATATATCAATATATAAAATACTAATGCTTTAAATATTATAATGATAATTATTTTTATTTTTTATTTCATAACATAAAATTGTACCAGTTACAAAATGTTTTTATTTCACTTTTATGATAACTCCCCCCCCCCCGAAAAAATATCGTTAATAATTAATTTATTTATATTATATCTGTTTATAATCTATAGATACAATAATAGAAATTTTATTTAATAGCAAAATTGTACCAGTTACAATGTTAATAACTAATAGTCTAAGTTTAATTATTAATTATTTTATAAGAAATACTAACAACTAAATAGTTAATTAGTTGTTTCGATATAAATTTATATATTATAAAATTATTATATCGTATATCTAAATGACACTGGTATACTAATTGTATTTTAGTTATTTAGTACAAATTAATTATTTATTATATTTTTTTGTTGAATTTAACATAATGTACCATATGATTTATTATTTTTATTATTAAATTTAATAACAACAACAACAATAAATTTAATTATATATAAAATATATTGATATATATATATATATATATGCCATAGATTTGTATACTAATAACAGTTTAGTAGTTTTCAGTTACTATAGCAACGCATGCCTGTAAACATGTGATTTGTAAAAGGGACACAAATATTGTCAACAAATACATGTGCCATTATATTAGTGCAATTAAATTATATTAAATGTGATAAATTAGTTATAATATTATATTAATTATTAATTAGCTATTAATTATGGAAAATATTAGCCCAAATAGAGGCAAAACATGTGCTATGACAAGAGAAATAAGAGAATTAATATCACAAAATTTTACTGATATTAAATCTCAAACAAATATGAAAACAGAACAAATTGTTCAACAATTAATGGTTCAATTTAAGAGGTCAAGAGCTTCTATTTATAAGGTTATAAGGTATGTATAAATTTAAACCTCCGCACCCCCATATTGACGCAATTTTTTTATTTTTAGTGGATATTTAGGATCTCCAAAAAAGAGAGGTCCTAAAAACAAAAGATTTACAATTATAATGGATGACATTACTATTATTGATAAAACTATTAAAAAGTTTCACAAAAATAATAAATCTCCATCATTAAATCAAATAATCGATCAAACTAAATCATTAAAAAAATTGTCATTCAAAAATGCTTCAAAAAGGACTTATTATCGATTATTAAAAGAAGCGGGATATAAAAAGAAGAAAACAAGAGATATAATAAGAGATGAAAAGATTAAATGTCCTGCAATTACAAGACAAAGACGGAGATATTTAGTAAGAAAAAATCAATTGGAAAAAAAATTTCCTATTATTTATTTAGATGAAACTTATATCCATCAAAATATTTTAACTACACATATAATAATGCCATTGGAATTGAATAATAATAATAATAATAATAAGGCAAAATATAAACTCAATTTAAAAATTGGTAATTTTTTAATTTTTTAATTTAATCTATGTTGATCGGGTGTACGTCACTAAACTCTACATTAATAATAGGTCCTGGAAAACGGTATAATGTAATCCATGTGGGTGGAGAGGACGGTTTTGTTGAAAATGGATTGTTTTTAAGTGTAAATGAAGAATTAAATAGTGAAAAATTTGAAAATTGGATGGAAACACAAGTAATTCCAAATCTCAAAGAAAAATGTGTCATTGTCTATGATAATGCAAAAATTCATTCAAGAATTTTAAACAAAGGACCAAAAAGTAATTGGCGTGTCAATCAAATTAAGGAATGGCTTAACAATAATAATATTAGCTTTAATGACAAATTAAAGAAAAAGGATTTGCTAATATTAGCTAAAAAGCATAAAAAAGTTAGAAAATATGCGTTAGACGAGCTCATCAAAAAAGCTGGTCATATACCACTTAGAACACCACCTTATAATTGTGATGTAAGTATTATAATTTCGTTTATGTTGATCGAGTGTCCGTCACTAACTTAACTTTTTAATAGTTAAATCCTATCGAATTGATTTGGGCTCAATGGAAAAAAATTGTTTCAACTAATAATTTAAATCTCAAAACATCAATAGATTTTAAAAATTTATTAATTAATTCGTTTAATTTAATTAAATCTGATTTTTGGAAAAATTGTATTAGAAAAGTTGTAAAAATAGAATCTGAATATATTATAAATGAAAATATTGATATTTAATAAATTTAACGTTATTTATACTCATATAAATGATATTTATTAAGATATTTTATTTTATTTGGCGCGCATTATGATTTTAGTATACAAAACTATGGCATAAATGTATATATATATATATATATTGTATATATTATATATAGATAACATGATTTATATAAACATTAAATATATTACAAACAGTGTATAATGTAATAATAATATTGTAATTGCAATAAATTTAATACAATGTGAAAATATATGATGAAAACTTTAAACATTAATTTCTTAACTTTTAATTAGCTATTAATGTAAATAAAGTTTTAAAACTAAAATGCAAAATAACATTTAAAACATTAGCTTTATATAAACTTTATATTTGTTATATATATATTAATATTACAAATAACTAGTTGATAAAACAACAACAATTTTATAAAATATAATAAATATTATATATATATAGTTAAATAACTATAACACGATTTTTATAATTGATATAAATATTATATAATGTTTTGTTAGTATAATATATGTATGAATATAGTTGACTACATGTGACTACAGATATGCCGATCCACATACCAATAGTACCACCGATTTCATAGATAAGCGAATAGATATCCATTCATAACTGTTCAGTGATTTGTGGCTCTAATCCATGTTTGGGTATTATATTGATCTGAGTATAGTTCGGGAATCCCGTCGACGGGACTGTTGTTGAACTCATATCCGGTAATATTCGCAAACATTTACCTATTGTTTGTTTCAAACATTTTGTTTGAATCGATTTATATAAATCAATAGGATTTTCATTGCTCTCACAATTAATTATATCATCAGTAGTTATATTATTAGATAAATCAAATTTATTGAATATAAATGGTAGACAACTATTTTTTATTAAATATTCATTTCTAATACAATTATCTATTGATTGAAATTTATAATTATCATAACTACTAACTAATTGTCCAACAAATGGTTTATCAACTATTAAATCGTCTAAACATTGATTACTATTACTTAATTGATTGACGGCTTTAGTCGTATAGAAAATATTTGTTAAACTATTTAATTTGATTTCAAATATATTATCTGAATTCCAATCGTCAAACTGTGTCTGCAATACAATAAAATTATAATCATTTATATTATTATTAAAATTTTTCAATATAATAGCTATATGTTTAAGTTTACGTTTTCTTATATAATCGATAGTCATTTGTTGTAAACTAATTAATGGCTGTTTATATACTATATATAAATAAAATTGCAAATAATTTAATTGTTTTAATGCAACAAATTTGCCGATAAATAATTGTTTTTCACTACAATTAACATTTGTTTGTAAGTTATCAGTAAATTCAAAGCGACAATCAATCAATGGTTTAATTAATTGTCTCAATCGGTGTCTATTACTAGTGTTTAACATTTGTAAACCATATTTATTAATATGTTTATAAATATCATCGATAGATAAATATTCAACTAATGGTAGTTTTGAAACAAAAACTATCGAAATCAATGGTAATCTTATATTGTATTTAAATTTAATTTGTGTTTTAATTTGATAACTCTTATATGTATTGATTATCGACAATAAATGCCAACACATTATTACAAAACATATTAAAAATATTAAATAATTAATTAGTTGTTTAATATAATTAAAATATTCATTGAAAATATTAGATTTGTGTTTTCTATTAAATCTAATAATAATTGTTAACAACTTTTTCAATGAAAACATTTCTAAACATTTAGTTAATAATGAATAACAACTGTAACCCCAAAACATACTCATAAGTCCTCCCAATTCACACCAATAGCTTATGGATGATATCTTTGGTGAATATATTATATGTAATTTCAATTGTTTTCTGATTTCAATTAATAGCATTTGTTTAAACAATAAATCGTTAAATTGATTGTCAATTTCCTTTACTGTTATATCATATGTATAATGATTGCAATCGGGTTTACATTTTCTGTATAATTCACTAATTTTATAATCGACTAAACAATCGTTGATTGAATTATTATTATTATTTATTAGTAATTTATTATAATATTTAGTTAATGATTGAATTGTTGATTGATTTTTAATGGGATATTGAATCCAATAGTAATTATAATTACATTTTCTATACTCTCTATCAGTCATTATGTTTAACATGCATTCCGTACGGGATTTTGGTTTCAGTACTACTAGTCGTCCATCAGTTGATTGTTGTTTATCGTCGACATTGATATCATTGTCATAATATTGGCAATCAGTCTGATAGGGAAACGGTATGTATTGTTGTAGATATGTTTCAATTTGATAATTATTTATCTTTTTATCGTTTAACCCATACATGCGGTGCTGAAAATGTGTTGGTGTATTGCTAGTTGATAATGCTAGTTTTATGTTGTTATTATACGAAACAATGTTATTATAAAAACCGATAAATAAATTTGTAATTAATTGATTTGGATTTACTAGTAAATTTGTAAAATTACCCTGATAAAATAATTGTATACATTGTTGACCTGTATATGTATAGCGCAGATAGTTTTTATTATAATAATTATAACATAATTCATCATTTATATGACATACAAATATATTACTAAACGGATCGTCCATTTTTGATAATTGATTTATCCATTGATCACTAGTCAAACACAATGTTATCGATGGTATTGTTTTCATATCAATAACATTCATATAATTAGTTTTATTGAAATATAATTCATTGTTTGTCTTGTATTTTAAATACTCTGTTGAATGCATTAGTATTTTATAGATAAATAATATCCACAATAATAATATGATAATTGTTTTAATTTTCATTGTTATTATTATTATTATTAATTTAATGATTTTTTTTAAATAAAAATTATAATATTTATATTATATTATTATTAGTACAGTAGTATATCATTGTTATTTTTTGTTTGTATTTAACACTATTAAACAATTAAAGTTATATAAATATTTTTATTTAAAAGCAAAACATTTTACTGATCAAAATAAAAGTTACTATAAAGTTTCTGATGTTATAATAATATTAATAATAATAATGTAATTTACTTTATATACAATAAAACTAATGCTTTAAATACTATAATTTTTATTTTTTATATAAATGTTATAATAATATAATCAATAATATTGTTTATAATTTAATTATTATATTTTATCTCTAAATATATATATATAATAGATACAATAATTTGTCAATGACAAATTGTACCAGTTACAAAATAATAATAATAATATAGTTTATATTTTAATAATTAATATATACTAAGGTATAAGTATAATAAATAAATATAATAACTAACTAAAAGCAGTTTAATAATATATTTTGTTTTTTTGTAAAAAATAAAAACAATAATATATATATATATATATATATATGACAATGGTACTGATTGTATTTTTTTATAATAACAAATTAATTATTTATCAACTTTTCATAATTTCATAATACTATATACAAAAAAAAATGTTTTCAAATTTAATAAATAATTAATTTTGTAAATTACTGTTAATAATATTACTGTTTTATTTTGATAATACAAAAAAATAATAATAGTATCGTTAATAATTAATTTATACTATTTACTTGATCTATAGATACAAATAAAAAGCAAATTTTATTTAACAACAAAATTGTACCAGTTACAATATTAATAATTAAGTCTAGTTTAATTATTGTATGATATAATAATAACTAAATAATTAATTAGATGTTTTGTTTTTTGTTTTGTAAAAACTAAAATTAGTATACCGTATATAAATGACACTGATACTAATTGTATTTTTGTTGTTTAATACAAATTTTAATTATTTATTATCTTTTATTGTTAATGTTGCAAATGATTAATTAATATTTATTTATTTTGAAAAGCAATTTACTGATCAAAATTACAATTATAATAATAATGTACTTTATACCTTTTATAATAATTACTAAAACAAATGTTAATATATTATAACAAATTTTTCATAACTAAACATTTAGTCTAATTTTTCTATAAAATCTATATTATTTTATAGACTACTTTATAATTAAATATAGAAAACTGTATTTATTTTAAATACAATTCTAATTAATTTAATTTGCTTTCTTATTAATTTGATTATTTTTGTTGAATAATTTTTCAATTTTAGCAATTGGCATTTCAAACATGCTATACGTTAAATAGCTAATAAACAAACTGAGCATTGTAAATCCCAAAAAGGTGATTACCTAGACAATAAATTATTTTAATAATAATAATACAAAAAAATTAGTCATTGTTAGTCAAGTATTATAAGGCGTGGTTCACATATTACGTTCGCACTTTTTTAAGAAATCTAGACCCCATCCCTCCCCTATGTTCGCAATTGTTCGCATGTAGTCATTTAAAAAAATACGTTCGATTATCCCTAACCGCTACCCCCCCCCCCACCACAAGAAATAAGATATTATCTAAATGTGAACGTTCTTAAAGTCACTACCTCCCCTCCCTCTTTTTTGCAAAAGTTCGCTTTGGCTAACCCCCCCCCCCTCAAATGCGAACGTAATATGTGAACCACGCCTAATATAAAAATAATAACAAAATTAACAAATGATTACCAGATTAAGTGGATCCAAATAAGTTGGCTGTTGTGCACTGAATGTAATCAATAATAACAATGGATAATGAACTAAATAGGCATGAAATGATAGTCGACTCAATGGTACCAATGCTGGCCATGAAAGTAATCGATTGACAATACCTCCCTGTCCTGTGGCACAGGCATACAACATATATGACCAACAGATTGACCAAACAGTACGATGAGTTGAACCAAACAATACACTTAGAAAGTTATTATAACTGTAACCCAAATACCAGAAATAAGGTGTGAAAACTATCGCAACATTTATGCCAATACATAATATCCATAATAATATATTTATTTGCTATTTTTTTTATAAAATAGATATCATATATTAATTTTTTTTAAAAATAATATATAAAAATTTTACAATAATAACTTAACCCATTTGATATTAATTTTGCCAAATTTATTATAAATATAAGCCATTAATATGCCGACACAATATGGAGGTAGACGACAATATGTCGAAAATAATGTTTCGTTAAAAATTGGTGCAGTGCTGTAATAAATATTTTTTTTTAAAAAAATTATAGTAAATTTATAAATTAGTTATTGAAAATATTTAATATTAAATAATATTGTAATATACTTCATATATTTTAAATCAGTTGGCGGATATCCATAAAAAATAATTTTGATAGCAATAGCTGTCCATGCTACTAAAATAAGCCCAATATTTATAGCTATACCTAAATATTGTTTTCTGTAAATATTTTAACAAAAAAAAAATTTTTCAACAAAAAAATATATATAATTAAAAAATTTCTTAAATAAATTTTTTTTTTACTTATACCTAATATCATTGAATGCCAATAATATTATGAAAATGTTTGACACTATAAACATTTGCATATCTACTGCCAAATACCATGTATGACCTAAACACTAAAATATATAGTATTTAATTAATTATGAATTTGCAAATCAAATAGCGATTATAAACTACAATAAATTCATTGTTATAAAATGTTTTAAAGTTTTAAAGAAAAATAACTATTTTTATGTAATTAAATTATTTTTACTATAATTGTGGTGTTTTAAATTTTTTTTTTAAAAAAAATCCCTTAGATAATGATATATATAAAAAAATAAATTACTGAATAAACATCTGTTTGTCCATTTTGTATAATATTATTTAAATAAATTAAATTAGTCCACCAACTGGTTGATTGTGACTGATCTAAGTATTGAAACCAAAGCGGACCCGAAGCCATAATTTCCAATAATTTTGAAAATCCAATCATTGCCAGCAATGATGGCGTAAGTCTAATATAGCGATGAATTATTTTTCTAAACATATTTCCGACATATTTACTAATTGTTGTCTGATTTGTATCATTGATAACACTGTATGCGCACAGAAATCCTGATAACAATAGAAATATATCGACCCATAGCTCGACATTTGTTATAAATTGCATCATAAAAGACGAATGCAATCTAAAGACCTCATTTATATTCATTACTAGTAATATATATATATATATATATAAAAATAAATATTATTTTGTGAAATAAAATTTTATAATTAAAATTGTATTACCATATGAGTGCGATGTATCAATAATATGACATAATATTATAATTAATAAACTAATAACACGTAAACCATTAAAACAAGTGATTGTATTTAACGGCTGTTTTTCTACTGTTAGTAATTGTCGTGTATTTGTGTACAATGAAAATGCAACCAATAATTGAATCCATTTGTTTGATGAAACTAATGGTAACAATTTATTTATTTTTTTTATTAAAAATTAATAAATAAATTATTTATAAAAAAAAAATTATCAAAATTTTACATCCAAATTGCCAATCGATAATTGTACCCAACATTATTAAAATACCAATTGAAACAAAACAATAACTAATAAGAGAAATATTTAATGTTAAATAAAAACAAAAAATCAAACATTTAAAAAAACAAAATATTTAGATATAAATTATTTTTTTTTAAATAATTTAAGTTATTTATATGTTATTAAAGGTAAATGTAACATTTTTATTAAGTTAACTTTTATTAGTTTTTAAAAATTAAAATTTTCTTACATAATAAGTATGTGATGCCATTTTAATGTGTTATTATTAGCAACACTACAATTTGCAATTGATAAAGATATATCAAAATTATTAGAAACTAAAATTAAAAGAAATAATTTAATTAATTAAAGTTAAATTTATTTTTAAAAATTTTTTTTTATTAATTACATGATTGAAGAACTGTATTCAAGTCGTGTGCATTGCATGACTGAGGAAAACAAATACCAATAGTTGTGGGAATCATATGTTTATATTCATATAATATCTGAATAGAAATGTTTAAAATTATTGATAAATTAATAATAAAATAGTAATGAAATGCAAATAATATTTAATTTAATAATAAATAATTTTATTATAAACTTTATTAAAATAAATGTAAAATATTTAATTTTTATAAGTACCGTATTTTTTAATATTAATTTTTCAAAGAAATAATTATTATCTATATTGAGTGTACAATATTGTGCATTCAATTTGTGTAATTGTTTGTCAATCATTAAGTCTGATTTATGGTCAATGCATTCACTATAATGGCCAACATATTGGAAATTTCCTTTATTAATACCGGTGCCGATGACAGCACTTGAATCAATCACTAATTATAAGTTAATAAAATTTAAAAAATACATTTTTAAATACTTATTTTATAATATTTTTTATTAATATAATTAAATACATTGAAATGTTGTTCTGTCGTCGGGATGTTTGACCAAATAGTCCATCACTTGTTTGCATTCATGGCTTACATTGGATTTACTAAAATGCGAATACAATTGTTTGACAAAATAGTGATTTTCATATATAAGATTTGATTCAATAGATTTTGTTGTTTTAAACAAACATATAAACAACATTAGCATAAAATAAATGTATAAATTTAATTTAATTGTTAACATTTTTAATTACAGTTAAGTTATTATTAAAACTTATAAAAACTAATTTATATTATATTCTTGTCTTATACAGTAAATAATGCAAATATATTGTTAATATCTGTATTATATGAAATACAAACAAACTATGATATATGAAAACTATTTGTAGTATAATTTTAATAAAAAAAATTTAAAAACTAATAAATATTTTTGTTGAAATTTACTGCAATGATTGTGAATTTTTTTCAAATAATCACAAAAATCCGCATTAATTACTTTTATAGTTAAAGTAATATATTATTTAAAAATTTCTATTATAAATCTGCTTACTAATTAAATATCTTTTATATGTGCATTGTTTAAATGTTTTTAAAATAAAACCAGTTAAGAATGATAGAAAGCATTATTAGCAAATTAATTGTCATTTACTAAAAAAAATATCATTTATATAAAATTTAAATTTTATTTTAAACATCAAATATTAAATACAAAATTAATATTTATAATAAGGATATAATAAATAAATAAAATATACATTCTTTATAATATATCGTAAAATAATACTTAGGTTTCAATACAGATAATTTTGTTGGAAACGATGTTTGAAAATTAAGTGGTATTAATATTTGCTTGATTATTAAAAATGACAGCCAAATACTTTAAATACTATAATTATTATTAAAGTTTTTATATTATCATTTCTATGATATAATAATATAATCAATAATATTGTTCACAAACTCCTGAAAGGAGTACGGATATTCATTGTATAAGACTTTTTGTCTGTCCCACGAGGACATAGGTTCGAATCCACATTATGCTAAAAAAATTTTTTTGGATTTTTTTTGAAGTTTTTAGATTTTATTTGTTTTTTAAGTTAAGGAGTTCGTATGCAAATGCTTTTAAAACATTCTCAACTGGTAATAATTTATTTTCCATATTTTATCTATAGATAACTATATTATAGAAACAAAAATTTTATAATAACTAATTTGTACCAGTTACAAAATAATAATAAAAATTTAATATATATTTTAATAATAAGGTATACTAAGGTTTATATTTAATAAATAAATATAATAAGTAACTAAATAATTTTTTTTCAATAATTTTGTTCATTAATTCAGTTTAATTTTTGCATTTTTTATTTTTGTCTATTAGTATAATTGTATACATTGTTTATATATATATCTAATAATAAATACCATTTTTATTTTTTTTAAATATTTTCAATAATTCTAATATTAGGAAAAGTTTTAAAATTTCGAGAATTGCTTTATATAATACTATTCAAAATAAAAATGTTTGAAACAAACTATAGGAAACTATTTCGAATTCGTGGATCACGTAATTTTTGTTCCATTTCCCGCTCTTTTAAAATAATGAAAGTACGCCTCTACTTTTAACTTCCATTTATTTCTGATCACTTGATTCTTATGATCTCATACCGTAAGCGCGATTGATTTGCCCCAAATCGTGTGTTGTATCGCCAGTCGTATCAATAAAGACGTAGTCCTTAGTCTTAAGACCACTGTATAATAGTTGTAATCCAATGTTGTCTATTCGAACTTTTGGAAAACCATTTGCTTCAGCAACTAATTGGTTGTTCCAAATATCAGTTAAATCAATGCAGTCACCTATAAAACCATAACCGTGATCACATGGGAGATCGTCTTATTCATTGGTCACATGCCTAAAATATACAGATAAAAAAATATTTAATATTTAATAAAATATAAACAAAGCAAAAATAAATAAACAAATCTTAATCCGTGTACGAACTCGTGTAATAAAACACTAATAAAACCATTATCCGCTTTCATTGAGTCCAACATACACGGGTGAATTACAATGACAAACTTATTATCGATAGGTGTTAGCCTAAAGTATAGGCTTTCATATGGTATATGTGTCGATATTTTAAAATTATATTTTTTAAAAAAAAAATTAAAAATTTAAAAATAAGATTAAATATAATTATTATATATATATTTATGTTAGTATGAGTATGTTTGTGTTAGTGCGTGTATATATAAATATATGTGATTGAATTATTTATTTATTAATTGGGGTCGTTCACAAATAAGTTACAATTTATCACTGTCATAGTATAATATATACTACTCTTAATGATGTGGATAAAGGTTTCGGTAGACATCAATTGCCGCCATCACTGCCAGCACTACTAAACAAAATGTTTAATTTGCTATCAAATATAATCAAAGGTGTTAGCAGTGTATTGACTAAAGATTGTAATAAATTGCCGATAATATCGCAACTATTATCGCAATTGAAATTAACTAATACACCACTAAATTGTATACTTGAATGTATGGTTTCCTTGTGATGAATAATTTATTTATTTATTTTTTAAAAATTATTTTTTTTATTATATAATTGATTAACTGATATACAATAAACATTTAACTATTTATTTTGTTTATGTTTTTAATTAGTATTACTTATATCCAAACATAATAGGATTTTTTTGATTTATATAATAAATTTTTGCAATATCTAGTAGTATTGTTTTGTAAAACATTTATTAATATAAAAAAAACTGCTATTAAATATAAGTTTTAAAAAATATTTATTATTTTTATATTGTTTTTTTCAATTAAAACATTAGCTATCCTTAAATGATTTTTTTTATTAAATCTCTATTCAAAATTAATTTATGGAAATGTAAACTAAACAATAGTAATATAAAATACATAATATATACATATTTTTATTATAATAATTAGTGTATTTTTTAAAAACTAATTTTTATATATTTTAAGTTTTGTTTAAATTAAAAATAATAATAATTTATAAATAACTTTTTTCAATCCAAGTAATACCTAGTAATATATATAGATATATAATGTTTATTTTATACTTATTTTTAATTTGATTATATATATGGTGTGTATCAGTATTTATATACTCTCTATTATATGCAATAAATTAATTGTTAAGTAAATAAAGCTAAACTGACAATAATTAAGTAATCAAAATATATAATTGAATTCATTGTTTCATATTTACTGTATATTTGCAATATATTCAAAAAAATTTCTATTTATTGGTATAAAATTTTAGCAAATATTTAGTCATACAAAAACACATAATCAATTAACTAAATAATAATATAGTAAAATATAGTTTACTTTTTTATGTTGTTTTAATTAATATATTATTTATTCATTATTTTTTAAATACTAAAAAATAATTATTTAATGCTAAACATTAAAATTAATAATACAATTATGATTAGATAACAGAGAAAGAAAATATAATAATTATAATATAATAATAATAATTCTCAGTTGAATTTATTTAAAATTTAATTAAAACAATTCAATAATAAACAATTTATATAAATCTTATTAATATATATAAAATTAAATTAAAAAATATTAAACAGATTTGTATTGAAAATTTAAGCAAATTATTACTACTACTACTATTTTTTTATTATAAAACATACAAATAATAATATTACTACTATTAGTAGTACTACTACTAACATTGGACCACACAGTTTGCAATATCATCTAACGGTATATTAACGCCATTCAATGCCGTCAATAACGCACTGACGGCACCATTGCATGTAAGGCCGGTAAGAATGGAGGATAAGAAACCCAATGCACCGCTGATGGCCAACAATAGTGTATCCAATAGTGTTTTGATAGGTCCGGGTAATGAAACAATACCTTCAATACATGTCTTAACACCGGCTGTTTTATCAGTGCATTGGCTCAGACCTACAGTCATTATAATAGTATTTAAATAATTATAATATTAATAATAATTACATTAAAATTTAATTAATAGATAAATAAATAATTATTTAATATTATTTACCGCATATTTTTGTAATAACATCCTGTCCTGTAATAGCATCGCATTGATTGACTGCAAAAATGATGGCAACAATAGTCAATGTTATCAAAGTTATTGAATTCATTTTTGATGTTGTTTTGGATTGTGATCTATAAAATAAAATAATTAAAAAAATTGAAAATAATTTTAGTATGAAAAAATATACTAAACTGTTTAAAAGTAAAATTAATTTCAATTACTAGTTATTATACCAGTTATTGGTTTTTAATTTTTATATTGAAATTATGCCGATATTTATATGATTTCTAACACTACGCTTACGTAGTTTATTATAGAATTGCCAAATAAAGATTTGTTTGACAATAAAATAAAAATTAGCTAAAAATAGTAATTAATTATATTTTTTTTATATATTTACATATTTTATTAAATTAAATTTAATAATTATTAATATATTTAATAAATAATATTTTTTGAGAAAAATTTTAATTATTTTTTTTAAATGTAACTAATAAATTCATTTAATCAGTAACACTACTGTAAAACTAATTGTAATAATAATTGAATAAATTAATAATAAAAATTTAACTTATCACTTAAAAGTAATTATTATAACTATTTGACTATGGTGAAATCACAAAAACAATAAATTATAGTATTTGGAAATAGTTATTAGTTATCTATTAATTTCATATTTTACTGATTTTTTAATATTTTAATTTATTCAAAATCTAAATTAAATTTTAATTTTTATAAAACAGTATTTAAAATACTCGTAACTTTATTAAAAATTTGTATATTAACTAATTTTAAATAATTTTAAAATATTTATTAAAATACTAAATAAATACATAGCATAATTAAATATATTTTAAAAAATAATATAGCTCATAATAATAATAATTAATTAATTGTCTTATTTTATAATTTATTAACTGTTTTGTCCGTCTGTTTGTATTTTAACATTTAACATTATTAGCTATTTTTTAATAATTATTTATTATTGGACTTATATTTCTTATATATATATCTATTATACTTATAGACATATAAACATATAGTATAAACATTTATTATACTTTTGAATACTTTCTATAAATGACAAAAATTTATGTCTATTTTATAATTA